CAAAAAACAAAAAGAAAAGGAAAAGAAAAAAAACCATGTATAAAAAAAAAAAAACAATGTGAGGATACACTATAAAAATCTACAATATTTTATTAGAAAAATTATAATATTTTTCTTACATGATTTAGTTTTTATTATAATTAGCCTAACTTTTAAAGGTTTTTTATTTTTATTTTTTTTAACAATGAAAATACTAAAACACCATTTAAATCAAAGAATATATGTTTGGTGTCCATGGTCAGTTTAATTTTTTCCTCTTGGATACACGGTGAAAATACTTAAATGCTCTTAAGAAAAAGCAGCCTTTCATGAAGTGTTTTTTTTATGTCACATCAAGTTTGGTTTTTTTATTATTCGCTATGTTTTGTTGATTATAATCTTTTTGTTAATGAATGTTCAATAAAATTACTTAATTGTACTCAAAATAAAATAAAAAAATTTCAACTAAGAGTCTTTAATGTCTTTTCATATTGTTTTTTTTTGGTACTTGCTTTTCTGTTGTGAAAATTATATTTTTTTAACATAAATTAAATAATATTAAAATTAAAAAAATGTTAGTGCATATATATTTTATATAGCTTGTACTTTATAAGCTTGTGTGTGCCTTTTAATGGTTCAAACTTATGTAATATACATACTTTTTTTCTCTCATGATATGACACATGTAATTGATGCCTGAGATGTTTGTTGCTGGTGGAATTTTTATTTCTCTCTCTTCCCCTTTAAAATTGTAGATTTGTCTTATTTGTTTAATCTTTTTTAGCTTTGGTTTTATTTTTTTGATTTTTGATTTTTAATTTATTTTTTTTGTGAAAGTTTTATTTCTTTTCAATTTAATTTTTTAATTTTAATTTTTTCATATATTTATGTTTCAATATAATCCTTATTCTTTTTATTCTTGATTTTTTTTCCTTGATCCTTTTATATATTTTTTTAATTTTATCCTCTAATCCAAGTTCATAGTGTATTATTTTTATTATTTTGGTCCTTGCTTTTTTAAATTTTTTTCTTTTTTGTTAATGTTTTTTTTCTTTTTATTTTAACCCTCAAATTGAAAGTTTGTTGTTGTATTCTAATTTGTTCTTTTATTTCTATTTTAACCCATATTTTTTTATTTTTTATTTTTTATTTTTTAGTTTAATTTATTTACTTACTCGATTTCATAATTCAACATTTCATTTTTTAAAAACTAAGCTCCATAATTTTTTTATAAACAATGTTTTTGGTCTAATGATTTGAATTAGAAATTTAAAAAATTAATAGAAATTAACCGTTTTTTATGTTATTTTTTAACATGGTTTTGACATGGAAAAGAGGTATGCTTTTTATATAGTTTCCAATTTCCAAAATGAACAGGATGTGGCCATCTTCCTCCGCTTGACTATGAGCTAAAAGCATTGTATTTACATCAAAAAAAAGTTCATGACTTGTATTCATTTTTTTTGGGTGTTCTCCGAAAAAACGTTTTATGTCAATTATAAGATGGTTAGTCTCGATGAGGAAATCCAGAAAAAGGCAAGCTTGATGTTCTAATTTGACATCCATTGAAAAATTACAATTTATTTGTGTTACATAGATTACAGATCACCAAGTTTAATTTCTTTCAAAGTGTTAGCTATATTTTCAACTATTAGAGACATGAATTCTTAATGTTCCTTGAGATCTTGGAGAATTAGCATAACTATTGTTAAAAAATTTACCTTATGCTTGTTACTTAAATCATCTCAAAATGTATTATAAATAAAAATATTTTTTTTTATATAAAAATATATGTTATCTTGTATATTCATTTTCATTAGATAGTGTAGCTTTAAATTGACGCATTTTCTAGATGATGTTTTTATATTTCTCATTAACAGTTGATTTCAGATCCTTTATTCTTGAGTGTAATCCTAAATTGATATATTCTCTTAGAGATGTTTAAGAATTTTTTATAAATTTGATAAGTATACTCTCATGTATAGATAGAATAAAGAAATAAGAATCCCTAAATACATGTATACCTGCAACTTAGATTTCCCTTTCGTTCCAAGCTGGAGGTGAGTTCCACCTATTAAGGATAAACAACATTCAAACTCGTTAAAATTTAAATTTTTTTATAAGCATTGATGTTAGACCTATACAAAATTAGGTTCCTTAGGAGAGATTGTCCTAATTGATAGGTCGAGAGACCACATAGTCATATGATGAGTTTTGTCTTTCAAAAGAGCATCTTGGAGAGACAAGCGACCCTTGTGCTAAATAAGTGACTAAAACCCTCATTTCTTAGCTAATATGAGATAATAACATTATTATAAATGATAATATGTTTCTATACCCACACATGAGAGGCCCTCCAAAAGTTATTGTCCTAACTGGTAAGTTAAAACCATATAGCCATATAATGAGATATAAGCGATTAATGCTCTTATCTCTTAACCAATATAAGATAATAACATCATCATAAATAATGATGTGTATCCATAGTTGCACATGATACAGCCCCGAAGGTTATTGTCCTACTTGATGGGCTAGAACTATATAATAATGTAATGAGTTTTATCCTTGAAAAAACACTTCTTAAAAAGAAGGATGACTTTTTTGCTATGTAAGAGACTATGACCTTCATCTTCTAGTGGATGTGGAATAGTGATATCATTATAGTTATCTAAACAAGAGACTCGAGTAGTGTAGCATGACTGATGGTTTTACAGACAATGTCAATGATGATTTGTACCCACACCTACATATGGTAGGTGTTACAGTGTTAAATGTGCACGGGGTGCACACCTAAGGCATGCTGTCCAATACCAGGCCTAAGGGTGCTGGCAGCCATGCCAACGATGGGATAAATTAGCAGCGCAAATTTATGCGGCTATAAGTTTGTCAAAGGGAACATCGGTAGCACGGAATGCTGGGCTTGACGATGGAAAGTCCAAGCCAGAATGGAAGACTCGTCAGTGGCATAGGCTGGCGAGAACTGGAGCTGTCGAGAAATGCAGGGTAGCGCAGGATGTTGACAAACATAGACTTGGCGATGGAATGTTCAAGCCAGATAAGGAAACTCGTCAGGGGCATAGGCTGGCGAGAACTGGGGCTGTCGAGGAATGCGGCAGCACAGATTGGTGAGGTCTATGGGCTTGGCGATGGAATGTCCAAGCTAGACAGGAAAACTCGTCTGGGATATGGGCGGACGAGAATTGGGTCTGTTAAGGAATTCAACAGCGCAGACACTGGGAGCCTGCGCGCAGATGGGAATTCGGCAGCGCAAGATTTGGCTAGCTTGCATGCAGATGCGAATGCGGCAGTGCAGACATTGGGGCCTGCACGTAGTTGCGAATTCGACAGCGAAGGAATTGGGGCCGCACGCAGATGCGAATTCGGCAGCGCAGGAATTGGGGCTTGCACGCAGAAGCAAATTTGGCAATGCAAGATTGGGGCCTGCACACAATTGTGAATTCGACAGCGCAGGATTTGGGGCCTGCACGCAGAAGCGAATTGGGCAGTGCAAGATTGGGCAGCCTGCACGTAGATGTGCATTCGGCAGCGCAGACATGAGGGTCTGCACGCAGATGCGGATTTGGCATCGCAAGATTTGGTGACTGTACCCAGGGTGCGCACTCGGCAGCGCACAAGAGCTTGCACAAGTCAGGGGCTTGACTTGGCAAGATCTAAAGCTTGGACGAAGGACTGTCCAAGGCATGTGGGTGATTTAGCAGCAGATGAAGCTAGAGCTAGCAAATGGGGCTGCCAGGCAAGCATGCAGAAAGTGGGAGCATAACTGGGGTGTTTTCAAGTTGCTGAAATCATGAAGCACATGGGGAAGGAAGTTCTCCACTATATCCTGGAAATAGGGATATGGGTGAGCCACAAATGATCATGGAGATAATGGGGGAGTAAGTGCCTATTATGTCCTGAAATATAGGGATTATGGGGGTGCCCTGCAACTCACATACTTGGCTATAAATGGTGATGGTAATTCTTTGTTGTATAGGGAGAATACATAGAGAATAGAATGCATAGAGAGGAAATAACGTATGTAAACTTGTTGGTGTAGCATGCGAATTCTGTGCATAGCACACGTTGTGTAATCCTTTGTTGATGAGATAAATAAAGGTTGAGAGGTATTCTTGTATTCTCAGTGTGCTTGGTTAAGAGCAATTCTACTTGTGTGTTCCGCTTGTCTTTAACATGGGAAAGTGGAGAAACCTCTTGGGTGAGGGAAACACTTAGTTAATAGGCAAATACGAGTGGATAGACTAGGGAAGGCTGAGTCTAGCGAGGGACTAAGCTGCCACACGGGTTTATTCGCGTAGCGAAAAATTACCCCGTGACAGTAGGCCTCTAAAAAAAGTATTGTCATAATTGATGGGCCAAGACTATGCAGCCATATAATGAGTTTTATCTTTTAAAAGATATTTCTTAAAAAGAGATGTGATTCTTATACTATATACAAGCACAAGCGACTAAAACTCTCGTTTCCTAACTGATAAGAAATAACAACATCATTATATTTTTCTAAATGAAAGGTATAAATAGTGTTGTATGACTAGTGTTTTCATATACGACACTAATGATGGTGTGTACCCATACCTATACATATACATAATAAGCCCCGTAACAAATAATATATTTGTTGACCGGCCGTAGCCCATAATATGTTTTGTCATTCAAAAGGAGTCTCTTGAAGAGAGAGAGATGACCCATGTGCTCTATAAAGCGACTAAATCTCTTGACTTTTAACTTATGTGGGATATGAAATCATTATTATAAGATAATGTTAATGCTATAAAGAGATGAATTGAATTATTGTCAAAAGTAATGGTAATTAAGAGAAACTTAGTATAATTATAGAATCTGACCCTAGTGGGTCTCGAATTGGCGTAGAAAATGCCACCGTAATATCATCAATGGTGCCCAAATATTGGATGGCAGTTATCTATCGGATCTAATTGAACTAAATTAGAGAAGATAGGATTTAATTCACCAAATCTCTTTTCATAGGGACTAAATAAGAATATTTCCACAAAATAAAAAATGAACTAAGCCCAGGATGTAATAACTTTTGGACCAGCTTCAACAAAGTCTGAAATGCGAAACCCTGTTTAGAGTCTACAAGGACTGGACTTGAGAACGGAAAATAGTTGTCTTAGTCTCTTCTTCCTTCTCAAGAAAACTCCACTCGACTTTCCGGCCACCTCCACCACTTTTCAACCCCCACCCATGACACACCCCAGTTGACCCTTTCTCCTCTTCCCTATTCTCTCTCTTTTGATCTTCTTGTCCTCCTGCCTTGTCTTCTCCAATGGCTTATCGGAGAAGACAAGCTACCGGTTCCTCTAGATTGTCACTCGATGACTTTTTAAACTCTAGTTCTGCTAGCAATATAATTTCACCGAATTCTGCAGACTCTATATCGTGCTTTGAAGAGCATCCCATTCCCAGGATTCCCAAGTCGAAGGAAATTTTTTTTTGGCCTGGCTGTCGTCCATCACATGTACGCGAAAAGAGAGGGCCTTACCGTGTTAAGATCGCCCGTTTTGCTGGACATGTTGGACTGAAAATTGGGTAATCTTACATCCAGTTTTATCCTTATTTTTCTCATATGTACGCTGCAATATTAATTTCATATAATGTTTATTATGAAGTGTTTGAAAGATGAATGAGAAATTATAAGGTGAATTTAGTTTATCATAAGATCGCGCAACCGCTTAATAAAGCATTTACAAATCGTTAGATTTGTCCATATCTTCAATTTAACGAGTCACGTTTTGAATGCGAATCTCTTCATGTTTAATAGTCAATAGCATAATTATAATTATAATTATAGAATGAAATAATAAAAAAAATACACTGATCACAAAATGATGTGACATCCTTTCATATTTCATATCTTAATGATAATTATGGAATGAAATAATAAGAAATACATCAATCTAAAGATAATGTGGACAAATTCAATGATGCGTAACGATTTTATTGGTTTCATAAATGAAATTAGATACTGATAATTTCTCAAAACAAAAAAATAATAGTGAAAATGTCAATAGAAAACCTACAGCAGAAGTGCATAACATGCAACTGCATTGAATTAACTATAATGAACTCATTTCTGGAGCTGATTCCATATCATGTCTACTGTCTTCATAACAATCCAAGGGTTCAACAAGGTGATGATGTTTGCGGCAATCCAAGTCAAGAGGATGCTGATGTTAACGGCAATCCAAGTCAAGAGGATGCTGATGTTAACGGCAATCCAAGGGTTCTTCAACAAGTTGCTGACGTTTCCAGCAAACCAAGCCAAGAGGGTGATGATTTTTTCAGCAATCCAAGGGTTCAAAAAGGTGCTGACGTTTCCAGCAATCCAAGTCGAGAAGGTGATGATTTTTTCAGCAAACCAAGGGTTCAAAACGGTGCTGATGTTTCCAGCAATACAAGTCAAGAAGGAGATAATGTTTTCAGCAATCCAAGAGTTCAGGAAGTTCTTTTACAGCGTTTACTGGAAACAACAATGCGCAATGTTTTTTCTCTTACACAGAAGGTAACTGGCTGTTGGTCTAGTTTTTCTATTCCATTTTATTATTAGCAATTATGCACTGAATCACTTGTGGATTGGTATAGACAAAGTGAAAAGCATAACGATTATGCCAAATGTTTGGCAGATTAGTAGACGAAGACTTGCAATTACAAATTGGGAAAAGGGTGGTCTTATTGGAAGCGGTTCATTCGGATCAGTATACAAAGGATCTAATGAAAAGGGATCATTCTTTGCCGTGAAGGAAGTTTCGCTTAGTAATAAAAAGAGTCTAGGCCCTCTCCGGAACGAGATTTCTATATTGACAGGTTTGGATCACGAAAACATAATTCAGTATTATGGAACAGACGAGGATGAAGAAAAGCTTTATATTTTTCTAGAGCTTGTAAGTCATGGCACCCTTGAACAAGCATATAAGAATTGCCCTTTCAAGGAATCCCAAGTTTCTCATTATACTCGACAGATATTGCAAGGTCTGAAGTATCTTCATGGTTGCAATGTGATTCATAGAGATCTTAAATGTGCAAACATACTGGTGACCGAATTTGGAAACATAAAACTTGCTGATTTTGGCCTGTCTAAATTTATGGAAGATGGTCAGTCTTTGAAGCCTGGCTCGAGAAGTTCATTGTGGATGGCTCCGGAAGTTGCCAATCCTAAAAGTGGCGGGTATGATTCTCGAGCTGATACGTGGAGCCTTGGATGCACTGTGGTGGAAATGCTGACCCGGAAGTATCCACAGTATAATGTCAGGAATACATTTTTGGCCTTAGAACGAGCAATTAGAAAGGGCACAGGACCTATTATTCCTGATTCTCTCTCACAAACTTCGAAGGACTTCATCAAAAAATGCCTGCAGCCAGATCCAAGTATGCGTCCAACTGCTGCCGAGCTTTTAGCTCATCCTTTCGTGAATGAATCATCTTGCACGCAACCTGATCTTAGTGAATTGCTTAATGGTGAAAGGTGAACCTTCAACACTTTTCCCTTGTCTTTTCAAATCTTATTGGATTATGGACTTGGATTCTAAATCTATGAGTTCAGTCTTTTAGTTTTGATGAATCTGTACTCAGTGCTGTTGAACATTCCCAGCTGTACTCAATGAAGTTGGTTGGTCAGCCAGCCGAGGACATTTCTTCTTATCCTGTTTTTGAATCCTTTTCTTCTGTTTATTCTCCTAGATGTTTTTCTTCAGAGCTTGCAAGATCAAAAGAGAAACATTAGGCACCATTACAATGGAAAGTACGCGTTCGAGCAGCTGCGAGCGTATTACTTAGGCTTAATTCAATTTTTTCTTTTTCCTTTTCTATTCTTTCATTCAATTTTGAGTCAATTTATTGTTCTTTTCTAGATCAATCTTAACCCTCCCTGTGGCGTAATTCATATCATAGATCTTTTGAAATGAACATCATTAATAGGCCTCTTACAATGTTAGTGACAGACGGAGGGACCATGCATGATCAATCATTACAAGTAGAAAGTCTTGAGTGACCAAAATTGAAGTAAAAGGGCTGATGTCATGTGTGGAGGTGCGTTTATTGTAGCTGGCATTGTAAATTGCAATAATGCAACTAGCCTGGCTTTTGGGGTAATTAAGAGGGTTTTTATTTTTTATTTTTTTTAATAGTGAAAATACTAAAAAGCCTTTTAAGTCAGCAATATATGCCTGGTGTTCATGGGCAATTCAGTTTTTTTCCTTATGAATACGATTGGAGTTGTTTTTTTTTTTAAAAAAAAAAATTACCCTAAGTCTTAAGTTTGGTTTTTTGGTTATTTATTATTTTTTTATTGAGGATATTATGATCTGTTTATTTATAAATGTATATTTAATTGCCATCAAAATAAAAGAAACAAAAACCCCTTAAGGCAAGGGTCTTTCATGTATATTGGTTTTTTTTGTTTTTTGTTTTATTTTTTGTTGAGGGTATTATAATATTTTTATAAAAATTAAATAATATAAAAATTTTAAAAATACTTACGTGCAGCTAGTGTGATGTCTCCCAATGGTAAAACCTTCCCTTTTACCGTTATATTAGATGTGCCACAACATTCTTTCATTTTTTATTTTTTATGGTGTGATGCGTATTGTTGATGGTTTAGATATTTGCTGTGATGAAACTTTATTTTTATTTTTCACCTCCCCTCAAATTATGGGTTTGTTCTCTTTGTTTAAGTTTTTTCAGCTTCAACCCTTTTTTTTTTTAATTTTTATACTTAGAATTTTTATGAAAGTTTTTTTTTTTAATTTTGTCCTTCAATTTCAGTTTTGTCATGTATTTATATTTTTAATTTAGTCCTTATTCTTTTGATTCTTGATTTTTTTAGTCCTTTTATATATATTTTTTAAATTTTTGTACCATTCAATCTAAGTTTATAATGTATTGTTTTTATCATTGTGGTCCTTATTCTTTTGATTTTAATTTTTTATTTTGTTAAGATTTTTATTCTTTTCAATTTAACACTCAAATTAATTTTTTTATTTCTATTTTAACCCTCATTCTTGTAATTTCTATTTTTTTTATTTTGAATCTTTTTGTATAATTTATTTATTTTCTTGATTTCATCATTCAACGTTTTATTTCTTAGAAATTGAGTTTCATAATTTTTTTCATGTATAATACTTTCAGTCTGATTGATTAGTACTTAAAAGTGCATTTTCATCATGGTTTTATATCATCATTTTGCACTTGAAGTATCAATAACTCCTTAACTAAAGCATGTTTTATAATAATATATCTAATAATATAAGATACCTTTAATTTATGGTAAATATTTATTTTAAATGCAGGCCTATCACATAAATGAAAAGTTTGATTGATGACTTTAAAAACTTAAATTGCAAGGGCAAAAAGATGACCAAAATTAGAAAAGAGATGTCGGTGCAATCCAAACCGGAACACTGTTCGGTAATTGGGTCATATCTGGAGCTATAAATCTTAGATTTAGGTCTACTTTATATGGATGGAAAGGTAAGACAGAGGCCTACAACTTTCATATAGAGCCCAAGATCTGAAAAGGCCATTTTCAAGTCCAAATTGTAGCAACAACAAAGAAGCCCGAATCTGTCCTCCAACCCGAGCATTGTTTGGTATTTTAGCCATATCTGGAGTTCTAGAAGTCCAAATGAGCTGAATTTTTTACATAAGATAGTTGAGACAATTGCCTACAACTTTCATGTTTGCAAGTGGTTCCAATTTTGACGTTATCAATGACGTTTTGGGCAGACAAGAGAAGATAAGGATTGTCACCAAGTCAAGAGTTGGCCACCCACTCATCAATTAGTCATCAAATCAATAGCTTCCAATTTTGGCCTATAAAAGGAGGCATTTGCCATGCATTTAGGTATCTTGTTTTCCAGATCAAGATCATGCTCTTCCTTTCTCTCTTTGTATTTTTTGTAATGTTTATGCTTTATTTTCATTAATATCAAGTTTATGCCTTTCATTTCCTTTTCTTTACTTAGTTAACTTTTATGTTCTTATTTTGTTTATCTATTTTTCTTTCTTTCATTATGTCTAGCTAAGTTTATTATGTCAAGGTGAAAAGGTTACACTAATGGTGTAAGAATAAGTATAGTGTAAACTTAATATGTACTTTAATGTTGATACTAACATATTTTATATTTGTTATCTTGTTCACTCTTTAATACTTTGCTTGTTAAATGACTAATCTTGATTTATGTTGTATAACACTTGGTACAACAAATGCTTGGCACTTTCATAGTCCATACTGTATGGTATAACCGACACCTGAGCTATGAAAGGAACTTGATTTGTTGTTAACATAAGTTATAATCATGAATGCTTGACGAGATTTATAAGTATTAGCATTAATCGAATAAGATGACTAATGTAATCATGTTAACAATCTATAATCTGATTGGAACCTCCTTTATGTGTGGTTTCCAATTGAATAATAAGAGTTTATATTATACTTGTTTGACATACCATTAGTGGAACCTCTAACCTTGACATTTGTTATTATCATTGTTTAATCGTTAAATTAATAGTCCATCTCAAAGTTCTTATCTTCTTCTTCTTCTTCTTCTTCTTCTCCTTCTTTTTCTTTATTATTGTTATTATTATTATTACTATTATTATTAGTATTACTACTATTATTATTATTGTTATTGTTATTATTGTCATTGTTGTTATTATTGTTATTACTATTATTATTATTGTTGTTGTTATTATTATTATTATTGTATTATTGTATTTATAATTTGTACAATTAACCTCCCTGTGGTTCGACCCCAGTCTTGTCGGGTTATTTATTACTTCGACACTCCTGCACTTGGGAGAAGACATCAATCTTTTAGTCATGTCACTGATAACCTATATTACGAGTTTAAAAAGTTAATAGGAGTTGACATCTTTTTTTATCTTATTTTTTTTTTCTGATATCGTCAAACGACATAGTTTTTTTTTATAAAAAATAGCTTTGTGGTTTTTTTATATTTTATTTTCTATCAAATTATCATAACCTCATGAGCTAATATATGAATTTTATATGTTAATTTGGATTATCAAATTAAATATCTATCATGTTAACTCGATTTGGCTCACACCAAGTTTTTTTGTCAATTTTTTACCCTATTTCATCCTACAATGATTGATTAACTAAAAAATAAACAACATTGTATTTTTGTTCTTGGATAAAGATTTTCTTTCTAGTTTATTGTCATTGTTTTTCTCATATAATTTGTTTTTTCATTTGCTATCATTTCTTTTTTTTTTTTGTTTTTCCTGTATGATCTAAATAATTCCAACTTATTTAGTTAGTTGGGATTATAATCCAGGGTATTAATTTAAAAAAAAAAATGCTTATAATATCTAAATATGTTTTTTTTTTAAATAACACAGGCATGAAGCATAACATGATTCCAACTAATGATATACAAGATATATGATCTAGGGCATTAAGTAAAACCTTCCATGCTCAAGTGGTGTATTTAAGAAAAATTTTGAAACCAAGATGACTATTCCAAGCCAAATCTAATTTTTGAAACCAAGATAACTATTACAAGCCAAATCTAAAAAGTTTAATTAGTTGACTCTGAGTTCGAGAAGCTGGTACAACGATATCCTAGTTTCCCCTTTCACCTTCTGCACTTTAAATGGGAGGAAATCTTTTCAGTGGAAACTCGTAGCCCAGAATTAAATCTTGATTTATCGATCGGTGATCTGCTTAAAATCCAGATGCATGGTTTTCCTAAATCATTATCAGCTATTAAAAGTTTGTCAAGATTCAGCTAGCAATCTCAGTGTACAGCAGTTCCAAAACCAGCCTTTTTTAACGAATCCAATCGAACCTTGCTGCTGAAGAGATTAATAGAGCACATTTACATTACAATTGGGTCTAGAGGTTTGGATGGCATGAACAATCTTGCATGCAGCTAGCAATAGTTATCTTCGCGAAAGCAAAGTTCTAAAATGAGGTTATACATTTGTAATTTTTCAAGCAAAACCAGAATCAGTTGGCTTCAAATGCTCTTCAGACTCAAGTTCTTCCACTTTGTTAGCCACAACTTCAGCCTTAATGGATAGACGTTGTGTCCATCAAAAGTTTCAGCTAGCAAACACCTATAATTTCTGTTTGAATGGACTTCTTCGCTAGAGGAACTTGTCATCATGAACCTATCGGAAATTGAGATGTCAAAACCCAAAAGCATAGAAGAATCAAAACAATGCCTCACCATGGTGATGATGCAAGTGACACTCGCATAGCATACTTATTGCTCGCAACATTATTCAGATTACTTAGCTAAAAATATAAATGGTGCAGGCCTTGGTTGAATTAGCATGTATACATGTCTCTGTTGCGAGGTGCCACTACCACTATTCTACTGAATAATAGAAGAAGGTATTATCATAAAATTTCTCATTCCGACAAGAAATGAGAAAGTGCAGCACATGGAGATCATGGGAGGGAGATTTATCTTATAGTATCTGTTAATAGGCCTTGTTTTCAGGGGTCACAGGGCTTCAGTTTTTTTTAAATAGTAAAAATACTAAAACACCCTTTAAGTTAAGTGATATATGCATGATATGAAGGGCGTTTGTTTCACAGAAAGTAGTGTTCTAGAAATCACTTTTCAAACTTTTCTATGTTTATTTGTTATTAAAAAAATTAGTCAACAAAAAACATTTTCCAATAAAAAAAATGACTTTGTTTACAAGAAAATGTTTTTCTTTAATTTTAGGGGGAATGACTTAGTTTACAGGAAAATGTTTTCCTTTAATTTTGGGGGGAAAAGACTTTCTAGAAGTTGTGAAAATTTTAAAAATATCATGTTATTTATTGATTATATTAAATTTGATCCTCAAATTTTTTATTGCTATATATTTTATTTTGAGTCTTTTTTTCATCAATTTCATCCCTTAGAATTTGATTTTTATATCAATTTTGGTTCTCATCTTTATAATTGTTATTTGTTTTTCTCTTATTATTTTCTAAATTAAAATTTTTTATTTATCAAATTTGATCCTTATTTTTTTTTATTGTTATTGTAACCCATTTTCAGATC